TATTCATTCAATGCTTGTCTTAGGGACTGTGTCTCAGGTTATCAGCAGTATGCTATTTGTAAGAAAGGTCAAAGGAGACTAGTCTTCAAATATTTTCAGGCATTTTCGTAAGGCCTTAGGAAATTCCAGATCCTAGCAATACTTACCATCTACCGGGAAAGAGTCACCATGAAGTTTATCTTGAGTATTATAATAAACTCAGAATTAGAGAGACTATGTAGTGAAATGTCATTTGATACTTGATAACATTGCGGCTCTCTTCATGGGACAGGAAATAAGAGGAAAGACGCAGGTGGTAGGAATGATCCCACCAGCTTTCTGTACAGTAGTTCTAACCAGGGACCATTTTGCCTCCCACAGAACAGTCAACACTCTAGAGACATTTTTGATTGTCATGCTAGGGGTCGAATGGGGTTGCTACTGGCTTTTAGTGAGTACAGGCAGAGATTCTGCTAAACATCCTACAACGCACAGGAAAGTCTCTCACAGTATAAAATTATTTGGCTCCAATTGTCACAGCTTCAAGGTTGAGAAACCCTGGTATACAGGAAGGATAAAAAATAGGGAGACTGGTGGCGCCTGTAGTTCAAGCAGCTAAGGTACCAGCCTCATACACCAGAGCTGGCGGGTTTGAATCCAACCTGGGTCAGACAGACAACCAAAAAATAGCTGGGCATTGTGGCAGGCGCCTGTAGTCCCAGTTACTGGGGAGGCTAAGGCAAGAGAATTGCCTAAGCCCAGTAGTTTGAGGTTGCTGTGAGCAATTCTACCTAGGGCGGTAGCTTGAGGTTCTGTCTAAAAAAAAAAAAAAAAAAGAAAAAAAATAGGGAGATGGAATATTTCTGTAGCTTGACTGTGGTGATGGTACACAAATCTATACATGAATAAAATTGTATAGAACTAGACACACACATGCACACTTGTGCAAATGACTGCAGGTTAAAAATATGGTGAAAACTGAGTAAGATATATAGAGTAGTTAACATGTCAGCTTCCTGGTTTTGATATTATGCAACAACAATTTGAGATGTCTTCATTGGGGGAAGCTGGGTGAAGGGTACACAGGACTCTTGTACTATTTTTGCAACTTTACTTGCCTATAATTATTTCAAAATAAAAGATAAAAAAGCTGTGTTCCTCAGAGCAGCTGGCTGCATCTACATACTTTGTGCCACTGTCTACCCTCTCTGTTTCTCTTAAATTATGCCATGCTTGTTACAGCACCAAGAAACTGTGGGTCCTACTTAGCAACTTTTTCCAAATTTGATGTTAATGTATTTGCAATCGGCTCGGCACCTGTGGCTCAAGTGGCTAAGGCGCCAGCCACATACACCTGAGGTGGCGGGTTCGAATCCCCAGCCTGGGCCCGCCAAACAATGATGGCTGCAACCAAAAAAATGGCCGGGCGTTGTGGTGGGCTCCCGTAGTCCCAGCTACTTGGGAGGCTGAGGCAGGAGACTCGCTTGAGCCCAGGAGTTGGAGGTTGCTGTGAGCTGTGATGCCATGGCACTCTACCCAGGGGGATAGCTTGAGGCTCCGTCTCAAAAAAAAAAAAAAAGTATTTGCAATCTACCCAATGATTTTGGTTGGAAAATTAATGAGCACCCCTCCTCACCACTACCTCTTCTCCAATTTGAACATTTTAACTTATTTCTGTTGGTTCTGAAGTAGCCCTAGAGATATTCATGAACTTTTCTAGATGGTGCACCCACTTTGACATTAGTGCCCGAGGAGAGCTTCCATTTTTCCACTACTGTTTCTATCTCATGATGCTGTCTTTCTCAACACACCTAACAAAAATAGTATCCATTCCCTGAGGCCTGGTTCAAATAATTTCCTTCAAAAACCTTCTTGGACTCACCCACATTCCCTTACTCCAAATAGGGTGTGAATAATGTTTCCTTCCTCTGAACTTCCACTGTAAAGCAAGTAAGTTCTGAGATAAGCATGTGTGTGCATGGATCTACCCATCTATCTGTCTATGTCACTATACTATAAACTTTAGGACAAAGGAGTATAAAATATGATCTATAGCTTTATGTTTCTCTCTAGTGGAAAACATGACAGTTTAACAATTCAACAGCAAATGCTCTCATGACAAGAAATTAGGCTTCACACTGCATGGTATGAATGATGATTAAGACTTGATCCCTGTTTTCAAGCACCTTGTATAATAAAGGATATATGCACATTAAGTATAAAACAAAACAGAATGTGATGATGACATAAAAAAGGCAATACAATTATGAGAATATAGGATTTAGAGAATATTTCTGATCCAAAGATACTATTAGGAAAAAATTGTTAGGGAAAGTCATATTTTAGTTGAGTCTTGAAGGATAGGTAAAATGACAGGGCAAAAATAAGGGGGAAGAATTTCTACTTGCAATAAATGTTGTGTTAAAGGTTTGAGGCAGGAAAGTGTATGACATGTCTGGTGAGCTTAGTTGACTAGTATGGTAGACACAAGTGAGGAGCAAGGTCTTCTGGTCATAGAGAGTCCTGGACAACATGCTATAAGGTTTAGACATTATTCTAATAATTTAGTTAGTGCAACTGGATTTTCAAGCAGGTATTATGACCAAGGCTTAGTTCTAGAAGGATAATATACAGCATCACTACAAAATACAGTTGAGAATGAAGACTTTACTAAAACAGAGGAATCTTTAGATTATTGCTGTAATCTAGGCTGGAGTTATAAAGTGTGAATTAGATTGGTGGCAGGAGAAACAGTGTAAGATAATAGAAACTATGCTACAAGTGAATTCTGGAAATTACAACATAAAGTTTGTAGGCTTGGGCATCCAAGAAAGGTTTTAGAAAGGAGGTAGCCGTAATGTGTGCAAGTGGGTGGGGTAATGACTTGTGAAATGATCAGAGGGCAGAAAATGTAACCTACAAGTGCTTCTAGGGATGGTAATAAACATGTTTGAATGGAATGGCGTCTATACGAGTAATAAGAGCATAAGAGCAAAGCTTGAAAGACAGATTAGGAGCGGGTTGTGGAAGGCCTTGAATTCATAGTTAAGAAGCTTGGGCTTCCTTTCGCTTGAGATACCAAAAAAAAAAGTTATACTTTATTTTCCAGGCAATGGGGAGTTTATGCCACATTTTGTGGAGGGTAGTTACATGATAAAGACATATTACTACACTTTATTTTCCAGGCAATGGGGAGTTTAGAGGGTAGCTACATAATAGAGACATATTACTTATACCACTTACTTGATATATGTGCTGTCTTATATTAAAGGTACGTCAGTTCCCGGATCAGAAATTTAAAGTTTGCCAGAGAATACTCAATAAATTTTTCTTGATCGAATTGAATCATTTTGTCAAGGAAGAATTTTCTTTTTGTGAGAAAAGGCATACAAATTTATTAATGACAGGGCACAGTGTGATTACTCCAAGAATTATTTTATCATGTGAATAATCATTTTTCTTTTTTTTGAGACAGTGTCTCACTTTGTTGCCTTCCGTAGAGTGCCATAGTGTCACAGCTCACAGCAACCTCAAACTCCTGTGCTAAAGTGATCCTCTGGCCTTAGTCTCCGGAGTAGCTGGGACTACAGGCACCAGCCACATTGCTCAGCTGTTTTTTTAGAGACAGGGTCTTGTTCTTGCTTAGGCTGGTCTTAAACTTCTGAGTTCAAGCAATCTACCCACCTTGCCCTTCCAGAGTGCTAGGATTACAGGTGTGAGTCAATGCACCTGGCCCAATAATTTCTTATCAATATACTTGGACCCTGAATAATGGATTTTCTTTTCTTTTTTTTTGTTTGAGACAGAGTCTGTGTCGCCCTCAGTACAGTGCTATGGTGTCCCAGCTCACAGTAACCTCAAACTCTTGGGCTTAAGCCTCCCAAGTAGCTGGGACTACAGGCACCCGCCACAACACTTAGCTATTTTTTGGTTGCAGTTGTCATTGTTGTTTAGCTGGTCCAGGCTGGATTCGAACTCACTGGCCTTGATGTATGTGGCCGGCACTGTAACCACTGTGCTGTGCATGCCAAGCTGAATGATGAATTTTCTTAAAATGAGACCTCTTCAGTGGGAGCTAACTTGTAAAGTCCACTTGCTTCAGGTGTTTTATGAGCTAGTTCACTTCAAGTTGGTAGTTTCAATCGGCCATTTCCAGGTATTTACAGCAAGAAAGGTAGCAAATGCTATAAATCAAAGTTTGTTTTTTTGATACTTGGTCATTAAACATTTACTGGCACATCACTGCCTATTTCCCTCTCCTCCCTCACTCTCCAACTATACTCTTTAAAGTTTTTTGACAGCACAAACTATTATTTGTTTTTGTATCCTCAATACAGTATTCACACATCCTGTTCGATTAACATTTGTAGCATGGAGACTTTATGTCCTTCATGGTCACATGGATGGAGCTGGAAAATGTTCTTCTTAGCAAAGTATCACAAGAATGGAAGAAAAAGTATCCAATGTACACACCCCTATTATGAAA